ATGATGCTGTTTGGCCTGCTGTGTTCATCCAGCTCTGCACCTTGTTGTCTTCGTTCCTGTTAAACCTGTTTATAAGCCAACCCTCAGGCTGCTAAATTCAATGACTTGCTGAATTTTCAGAATGCACTTAGCTTTTTCATAACTTTATATGTGCGGTCCTCCAAAGTGAAGTAATTTCAGCCAATTACGTGTTGCTATTGTCACTACCTGTACTTTATATGTGTACCTTAACTTCAGTCCTATCATTTTGGGATACAAGATAACAAATATTAAGTTACAAAGTCCTGGACACCTAGGCCAAACAAAACAGCATATGCCAGTAGGCAGTCCTAGCAATGTCCAGACTTGGATATAAATTGGGCCTAACATGGCTGTTTAAGCATCTGTAAATGTATTAATTAAAATGCTTTAGCACACAACCACATCTTTGATGGTATCTTGTTTAAACTGTTTCTTAGGCTGCTTATGAGTTCTCGATTTTGAGTGTCAATGGAGTTATTTCTATGTGATGATAGCAAAGGGAGGATCCTGAGAGCTATTTTTAAAACAGTAAATGCAAAGTTACCAAAAGAACATAATCTCTCTCAGTAAAAGTTGAGGAATGGGAGGGGTGAGAGGAAAAGAAGAGCTAAAGGAGACAAAAAGTAAATCTTAAGCATTGTTTTAAAAAAAAGGTGGAAAGGATATCACTTTCAATGTTTTCTGAATACATTGAAATATATAGACTCAATGTTCAGTTTTTGGTGCAGAAATTTTCTGCAGTCCCCAAAAGCGATGTTATGCATGAGATGTACTGACTAAAATATTTGCTGAATTGTTGTTAAGGCGTTAGTGTGTTAAAGAGGACACTCCATTTACTAATAAGCATTCCTCATTACATTGCAGAATTTGTAAGTCATGATGAAAGGACAGCATTGTATTATAAAATCTATATGGCAGCAAAAATTGTAGGTGCACTGATTCTACTTACTGATTGCGTGTAAATGAACTGTATGTTTCAGTTTGTACACTGATAGTTGGGTTTACTTCACGACAAAATTTTGAACTATGGTGCAAATGTTATGAACTACATAAACTGCTTGATCATTAGTGCACTAACTCCTGTTAACAACAGCTTAAGGAATGTGTTGTGTCATGTAGATGAAGTAACCTATTGTACTGTGTAAAATGTATGCTGATGTATTGATGCACGATGGGACTTCAGTGTCATTCTCTGTTCCCACACAGGTTGGTTTCCTTGTTGCAGTTACCTGTCATTCAGTATCCAAAATACTTTTCTTAAAAAAAAACTAGAGGTTTCTTTTGAAAGTTTGGGAATATTCTGATAAATATGTAAATACAGACATAGGAACATAACTACTGTTGGCTAAACACCAGCTGTTTTCTACATTGGCTAAGTGGACATGAGTAGTAAAGTTATTTGGAATTACATTTCATGTCAGCTGGACCAATTTAATGATAAAGTTGGCAATAAATTACTGATTAATAGTGTTGTACAACATTCACTTCAAACTCCATCTATTTATTTGCAGCACTTACTTTGGGGTAAAGTCAAAAATCATGTAAAAATTGTATAATAATTGTCATCTTAGATTTGATAAATTTGTTAAACATTACAAGTAGAAGAACAAACACTGCAACCCTTCTGACCCTTAAAATATCTGTTATGATTAAACCAGAGGCTAACGGATGATGTTGAAGCACAAATGACAATAGAAGAAAGGAAGCAGCTGATAAGTGCACGGGAAGAGGCCTGGAAGACTCGGGGCAGAGGAGCGTGCAATGATTCCAATCAATTTACTGTAGCTGGAAGGATGGTGAAGAAAGGTCAGTTTCTTCCAGACATTGAATAAAGAAAGTGCTCGCATTTATGTAGCACTTCTCATAACTTCAAGTATAAAGCAAGGTACTTCACAGACAATGAAGCATTTCTTGTTATTTCAGAAATCCAGCTGCCAATTTGCAGAAAATTGCAAGTTGTATCTGTCTTGCTACCGTTTTTATTTCAAGCAAGACTAATAAAGAAGTTTTCCAACAAATATATCTAGAAGAATTCCTCAGTCTGCTATCACTGCATCAATTTGTTCATTACATTATTCTACAATTTTTGTTTCCCCCATGTTAGAAAAAGATAATGCTCTAGGCATTGATCACTCTGAGTAAAGAGCAATATCCTGTTCGATCCAAATTTGCCTTGACAGGTTTGTTCCTACATCCTCTTTTTGTGCCCTGGCTGTTTAGTTTGCAGCCCACTCCTTTTCTTCCTATGCACAGTATTTTGCACCTGCCCAGTTTAAGAATCATCTGTGCTTGCCTGCATTATAAAGTGACTTCACTTCAGAGTTCTTTGGAGAAGCTTTATAATGCATTCCATTAGTTCAATTCCTGTAATATTCTGTTCAGGTTATGATTTTTTTTTTGTCTGAACTCATTTTATAATTTGTGGTAAGCATCTTGGTCAGATACTGTCTAAAGATTTAACTATTCTGCGTTGAGCTTCTGAATACATTCTCTTAATGTCAATCAATAAACCATCCCCTGAGGCAACCTTAAAGTAATTTTTCCTCCTATAACAGATCTCCCCAGCAAGTACCACTGGTGGTCCTCCTTTTATTCATTTCTGAATTTTTTTCTTTCTTCCTCCAGTCTCCAATTTTGACCACCTGTGCATCTCATTTTCTGTTCCACTGTCACTGGCAGAACTATTATCCGTTTTGACTGTACTGTCTCCACTTCAATGCTTTTGCCTTGCAAGTCCTAACTTCAAAGTACATTCCCTCAAAAGAGAAATGTAAGATAGACAACTACAGATCCCCAGAGTGATAAAGGAGAAATTAAGGTAAAGAAGAAAAAATATGCTTATGATGGATTGTTTATATTTTAAAAATCATCTAATGTCCAAGGGTATGTGGGAAAGGTAGGAGAATGGGACTAACGGATGATGCTCATTTGGAGAGCTGGTGCAGACATGATGGACCAAAGTAACACATCTGTGATTCTGTGACTTTTAAAAACTTTGTTGAAGCTCTCTCTTCAACCACTTCTCTCACCTACTAGCTGTCACCACTCCTGTCTGAATGCCAGTGCATGGTGACAGTGGTGTGCTTGGCTTTCACATGTTTGTATTCACGTTGATTTTATATGGATAAAAATAGCCTGTGTATATGACATCATCTCTTAATTAACCTCTCCTCATTCCTTCACCCCCACCCCCCAAAAATCAATACTTCCCAATTACCTTCTTACCTGGAGCTTTAGTGAGTTAGTTTAACTTTTACACTAATTGATCAACATTCTAAAAGTACTTAACAGAAATATTGTTGGTATAGTGCCCACATTGCAAAAGAGGCCCCTGCGCACTAGCTTCACAAGATCCAGGACGTAACAATAGCCCAGTTTTTCTATTCTAGAGAAACGTTTTCCAAAGGGATAGGTGCCAAGTTGATTCAGGTGTTGGCTGCAGTAGAAACTGTGCTTAGTTTAAGTCAAGAAACAATGTCAGAGGTAAGGCTACAGAATGTTGTCTTGGTATTGTTTTCATTTGGAGAAATTTTCTTTTTCCTTTACCCAATTGCCTCAGGTAACAACGCTAATTGTTGTAGATGCTGGAAATCAAACAGAAATGGAAATTGCTGAGCAGATCAGGAAACACCTGTGGAGAGCTAAATAGAGATACCATTTCAGGCCAGTGACTTTTCAAAAGATCCTTCTGATGCAAGGTCATTGGGCCGAATTTTCCAGCAGGGTGATCCAACTCTGATGGACCTTCCCGGGATGGAGTGGGAATCAAGTTGGCTGCAAGCCACACAGAGGTGGGCAGCTAACTAGTGCCAGTAAGACCCCACTTTGGAGGCCATTTGGCAACAATATGGCTATTGCCCCACTGTCAGAGCGGCCGCTCGGGAGGCTACCAGCTCAAATTAGGTAATCTCTTTGCAACAAGCCATGAGACCATTGGAGCCAGAATGCTTCTGCCCCAGTGATGGGATGAATAGCCACAAATATGTCCTTTACTATTCCTGTGGAGTTGTTTCCCTTTCACCATGATAGTCTTCCTGGTTTTCACCCCCTTTATACAGGCAGTTATACTGAGACACCGTCATACTGACCTGACAGGCTAAGCAGTGCCAGTGCAACATGGGCTGCTGGACTCCTATCGATGCAGCCCCCCTGAGTAGGCTTCCATCTCTAGGAGCTCATTAAGGACGGTGAGCACATACATGGTCAGCTAGGAGGTCATTTTCCTCCACCACCACCTCCAAACCATGAGTTTGCACCAGCGACACGGGTGGGCTATGGAACACCTCTATGCCATTGACGCAGTTTCCCCCTTCACAGATGTAACCAGATGTACTGAGCATTTCCAGCATTTTCTGTTTTTATTTCAGCTGAGTAAATATGGCTTTATTTCAGAATCATTAAGATGAAATTGACGCTGATTCAAAGAAAAAAATTTAGATGCAGCTTTTTAAATGCTTTGGACCAAATCCAGCTGACGCCATCGATCACATTGGAGAGAAATGCCCATAAATAACTAGGAAAATTCTTGTGGCATATATGGTTAAATTTGTAAACTTGTATGTACTTAACTGAGCATTGTCATGCACTGTATCCTAATAAATGAGTGTTTCCTTTCTTGTTCTGTAGGGTTGGCATCACCTACATTCATGAGTCCAATGTGTTCACCTCTTTCACACAAGATAAAGAACAGCACCCCAGTCATTTCCAAACCACAGGAAGGTAACAGATTATACAAACTGCTAAAGGAGCAACACTTGACTGAAATGATGATTTGTTGTTTTGGTTTGCTTAAATGCATTCTATGTGCCATTACATTGAAAATAATAGTTCCCCTGGCATTCTCACTTTCTCTAACCAAATAACAAAGCAGAAAAAACTGTCCCTTTAGATTTTGGGAATAAATAGTAATATCCTTTTTGATTTTTTGGACCTATTTTATGTCCTACTTTTTCTTGTTTAGAAATTGAGGTCAGATCTGATTTGCCATTGGAAACTGACAGGAAGCTTGACAAACTAGAATCATTCTTGGGCAAACTGCAGAACAGAGGTAAGTAATTGCTTGTCTTTTTTTATGTAGTCTATTAACAGGTCATTGTTCATAAAATGTTTGCCATTCTGTATCTAATTAGAAGCAATTCTGTAACATTTGGACTAGAAAATGATCTCCTGAGTCTTGCATAGGTTATGTCACACTGACTGATGATGCAGCGAATATAGCTGAGAGCTACAGTTCTGGGTCCTTTTTTCATTTTCTAGATGAGTGACTAAGTATTACTTTAGTCCCATCTACCAGATCTAGAAAACATGTTGAGTAAATTCATGTAAAAAAAACAGATATTTGTCATATTTGTTTCAAATATGATGAAGTATATCAAAAATATGTTAATTAACTGAACAGACAAAAGCTGGTGCTTTGCCAGAGCTACCTCTGTTTAAATCTATAAGAAATAGGAACAGAAGTAGGTCATTCAACACCCCAAGCCTGCTCTGCCATTCAATAGAATCATGATCTAACATTCCTCACGTCCACTTTCCTATGACTTCTCCGTAATCTTTGATTTCCCTACATCAAAATACCTATCTATCTCGACCTTCAGTATAAATAAGAACTGTGCCTCAGCGGTTCTCCATGGCAAGGAGTTCTGAAGACTTGCAACACCTCACCACCTCCCCCACCGCTCCCCCGCTCCCCGCCACCACCCCCTCCCCGAGAAGAAATTCCTCCTCATTAAATCTTAACTTGGCTCATATTTATTCTGAGACAATGCCATTTGGTCTCGGACTCTCCCATGAAGAGAAACACCCCCTGAGCTTTACCCTGTCAAGCCCCTTAAAATTTCTATATGAGATGTCTCAATGAAATCATCTGTCTTTCTTCTAAATTCCAATGAGTAGAGCCCCAACTTGTTTAATCTTTGCTCTTAAGACTATCCATCCATACGGAGCGTGATCCTAGGGAACCTTCTCTGAACTGTCTCCAATGAATTTATTGATGAGCTGTCTTGTTTTTTGTGATTATGCAGGATGTGTTGTATGAGTCGCCAGTGGGCATTTCCACTTTCTTATTGGGTCTGACGTTGTGAAGGTTTCCATGGTGATAGTCACCTTCGATTCAATGGATTTCTGATTATGCTGCATTATTTGCAATCTACTGTTTTAGGCACCTGTCATTTCTTATGTTCCATGTTTGCTACTTTGTTGCTGGTATTGTATCTTTTGTCTTGCAGTGCCAGGGCAACAAGATGCTGTGATAACTGTAACTGGACAATCTGTAAAGGAAGTAATGAGACCTGATGATGAAGAAACTTTTGCAAGATTCTACAGAGATACAAATACATTTGTTATTCAGCCAGGAGCTGTAGAAATTGATGAGGAGGACCTTGATGCCATTTTTGATCCTGACGTACCAAAGTATGACAAATTAAAACTATGGCTCTTCTGAATTTTAGGTTTATTTGGCTTACTCAATGAACTTTAATTCTCCAAATTTTTCAGATTTGCATTAATAAAATAGAATGAACAGTTGTGAAGTGTGCAATTTGGGGTCTGGGTGATGGCTGGGATATGGACAAAGAAAGAGAAAAGAGCATAAGATGTATAAGGCCATTCAGCCTATCGAGTCTGCTGCACCATTCAATGAGATAACGGCTAATTTAAAAATCTGTCGTCCTCTGCCGTGAATATACTTAACGACTCGGCCTCTACAGCCCTAAGCGGTAAAGAAATACACAAACTCACATCACTCTGACAGAAGAAATTCCTCCTCATCTCTGTCTTAAATGGACGACCCCTTACTCTGAAATTATGCCCCCTGATCCTAGATTCTGCCACAAGGGGAATCAACCTTTCCACATCTACCCTGTTAGACCCCTAAGAATCATATTTGTTTCAATAAAGTCGTTTAGCCAGGATTTAGCATGCACATCACTTCTCTGGGTGGCTTGCTCTATTTCAGTCTGTGCAATGTGGGCTTCACAATGGATTAAAACCCCAGCAGTGCAGAAATCCTCAGCCCAAGAGTTTCCAGCCAACTGATTAACCTTAAAGACAATAGGTAGGTCTCCAGAGGGAGAGGTGACATTGGCCATGATGGAGATCGCTGACAAGGCAAGGGGTATCAGGAGGTGAGTTTTCAAATGGGCACAGATTATCAATGAACAAGGAACTATCTTCAATAGGTCATGGGCAAACCCAACAGTGTTGCAGGTCAGCCTCTCTGGGTGGCAGGTGCCCTGATCGCTATGCGTTGAAATCCATCAGGGGCAGCAGGAGGCTAGATAAGGCATCAAATTACCTCCAGGCAGCAAGGCTGACTCCAAAATATTCATCTCCCACCCTCCCTGCCCTGAAAAAGGAAAGGAGGGCAACACCATGTCAACCCCACCTCCAAGTTCACCCTGGGTGGGGACATTAAATTCTGCCCTTTGGACATTGGAGTAAGAGTAGGCATTCAATACAATCGTGGTTGATCTCATCTCAGCATCAACTCCACTTTCTTGTCGCTCTCCATAACCCTTCAACCTTTTAATAATTCAAAGTCCGTCTATCTCCTCCTTAGATTTACTCCTGCCATCCACTGTACTCCGGGGTTGTGAATTCCACAGATTCACAATATGTTGAGAGAAGTAACTTCTCCTCAACTCTGGTTTAAATCTGCTACCCCTTATCCTAAAACTATGACCTCTTATTCTAGATTGCCTCATAGAAGAAATATCCTAAGTCAATTTGTGAATCTGTTTCGCATGTTTTATATATCTCAATTAGATCTCTCATTCTTCCAAACTCCAGGGAGTATTGGCCTAAACTGCTCAATCATTCTTCAGAGGGACAAACCTGTAACCTCTGGAATCAATCTAGTGAATCTCCTCTGAACTGCCTCTAATGCAACTAAATCCCCCCTCGAGTAAGGGGATCAAAACTGTGTGCAGTACGAATGTGAGAGAGAGAGCAAGCGAGCAAGAAGTACGATAATATGACAGAAACATTTTTGTTTCTCTCCTAGGCTGACCTCTGCAGTAGCAGAGCACAAACGGGCTATCAAACCTACACGCAAAGTACAGTCTTCACGTAATCCACTTAAAATGCTTGCTGCAAGAGGTGATATCCGACACGAATATACAGAACAGCGGTTGAACATTGCATTCATGGAGTCAAAGAGAATGAGGGTGGAGAAAAGTGAGTTTTTAATGTGTATTGTTCTGGACTCTTTAATTACTACCATTTTCTTTCCAAATTGATGTTAATTCTTCTCTACACATGCGATAGTTTCCAAGTCAATTATGCAGGGAATTTTGTTCATTATGGGTATCAAAGATCATTAATTCTATTCACTGTTCAAAATAGTAGAATATAACTGAAAATACAAATCCGTACTAACCCACCTCATGTGGGACAGGTCCACAAATCTGCTCAGAGATTTGCAATACTTTTAAGGAGCATTAATGTCGGATCACACACTAGGTCTAGGTCACACTTGCTGAGGTTAGAGGGGTAAATGTTTAGAAATTGTAGAAAGAACATTATTCTTTTTATACTATATCTTAATATCAGTGGGAGGCAGTGGCGTAGCGGCAGTGTCATTGAACTGCTAATCTAGAGGCCCAGTCTAGTATTCTGGGGACATGTGTTTGAATCCCATTACGGTAAATGCTGAAAAAATCTGGAATTATTTGCTAGCCAATTGGAGACCATGTAACCATCATCAATTATCATTAAAACTTCTGATTCACTAATATTCTTCGGGAAGGAAATCTGCTATTATTATCTGGTCTAGCCTACATGTGACTTCAGACCCACAGCAATGAGGTTGAATCTTACCTACTCTCTGAACTGACCTAGCAAAAAGAAAAGAAATGCAATGTTCAGACAGGTGCCCATAACAGGAAACCTTTCAATCAGTACTTTCCATTTGCTTCTCATTCACGTGCTTGTCCAGCTGTCCCTTAAATGACTTTTTTCTGTACACTAAATTCCATGATTCTGTGAAATTCATCCAGTCTATTTTCCCCAATTACTCCTTGTAGCAGCATGTTCCACATTCCTAACACTCTTTTGGAAACAAGGTTTCCCCTAAATTCCATTCTAAATTAAAGATAGTTATTAATGAATCTATGACTTCCACTTTTGGACATCCCACAATTGAAAATATGATCTCAACATCTTGAATGCACATAACTGCAATACCCATCTCGAAGAGTGGCTCATCAGCATCATTCCTGACCAAGTTGGTCAAGTCCTTATCGACATAGCTGCTTCTAAACTGGATGTGCAGCAAGTGGTGAGGGAAGCAACAAGAATGAAAAACATACTTGACCTCCATCTTCATTAATCTGCCTACCGTAGCTGTGTCTGTCCATACAGTATCGAACAGAGTGACCACTGCACAATCTTTGTAGAGATAAAGTCCTGACTTCACATTAAGAATACGCTTCATCGTGTTACGTGGCACTATCACCGTGTGAAATGCAATACAGTTTGAACAGATCTGACAGCTCAAGACTGGGCATTCCTGAGGCACTGAGGTCCATCAGCAGCAACAGAATTGTACTCCCAACACAATCTGCAACCTCATAGCCCACCATATCCCCAACTCTACCATTGCAATCAAGCCAGGATCAACCCTGATTCAATGAAGAGTGCAGGAGGGTTTGCCAAAATCAGCATCAGGTAGACATAAAATTGAAACAAACACAATTTTCTTGACAAACTCAGCAGGTCTGGCAGCAACTGTGGAAAGAAAACAGAGTTAATGTTTTGAGTCCAGTGATACTTCAGGCTACTTATATACTAAGCAGCAAGTGAGGGACAGAGCTATATGATTTCGTAACACGGATCACACCTGCAGTCCCCGACATACAGTCATGAATAGTCTACTCTCAATCAGTGATAAAGTGATAGAACATTTCATCATCAGTGCTATCAAGCAGCTCTTGCTCAGCAATAACCTGCTCACTGACACTCAGTTCAGGTTCAGCCAGGGTTACTCGGCTCCTGATCTCATTACAGCTTTATTTCAAATGTGGTCAAAAGAGTTGAATTCCAGAGGTGAGAAGAGAATGACTGCCTTTGACATCAAAGCTACTTTTGACCAAGTATGGCATCAAGAAGCCCTAGCAAAACTAGAATCAGCGGGAATAGGGGAAATTGCTCTACTAGTTAGATTCATACCTGGCACAAAGGAAGATGGTTAAGGTGAATAGTATTGGAGAACAGTGATCTCAGCTCCAGGGCATCTCTGCATGAGTTCCTCAGCGTAATGTTCTAGGCTCAATATCTTCAGCTTTTTATAAGTTCAAAAGAACAATGATTAAGGCAGTAGATCAATCAGGCAACTCTGGGACACTAGTCCGCAACTACCGACTGACTGAGTGTATGTTTCCTGTTCTTGTCTATTCTTTTGACTGAACTTATTCTTCTGTCATCTTTTCTTGCTGCACATCAAGCTATTAAGTGTTGCTGTTTGTTACCTTGCTAGCACAACTCCTGTGCATGATCAATGACATCCCTGAGCTCAAATTACTTGACAATGTATGAACAGCACATGATCAGTCTTGGATTGGCTAAATAGCATGTGACCAATTTCTAATTGGTTTCTTAAAGTCATCTTACTGATAAATATCCTGTTATCTCTCACCACATCCCTAAGAAATCAGTACCTTTATAAAATAGTTGTCTTCATTACATCTTTCTCCTGTTTGTTTACCTTGGTAGAGAGCCATAACTTTGTAATGAGGCACTGCAAGGTAATGTGTACCTGCTTAGAGAATTTATAGTCCCGCATTCTAATGATTGCTATCATCCCAAATGTATAATTGATATATCTAAGTGTTCTGGAAAGTACAAGAGCCTATCAATATATTTTAGTTCAAGTAGCCTGGTGACCTCATCGTGACTCTGATGCCTGGAACAAGTTATTAAAAATTCACTTCGAAAGAACCACACTACCTTCTTTTATTCTCAATCTAGTTACAAAAATTCTCTTCAAACCACCACATTATCAGGAATCAAACTTAGTCTTTGTATGAAATCTCTACAACTTAGCTATCTTATGAGAAATCATTATATAAAACTATTGCAAAATTTAAATTCAACATAGTGGGTATGCATATAAATGCCTGTTACATACTATTAACAGAAAATAAGTTTCTTTTTAAATTATTTCAAGTTATGAAGATAAACTTATCTAGGACATAGAACCATACGGCTTGACCCAAAGCCATTTTGCTTCAAAGTAGTTTAGTAGTAACCTCAGTTTAAAATAAAACTTCAGTTGACTGTCAGGCCTTTTTGAGTGTCCTGAGGCCATAAAAGATGCTACGTAAATGCAGGCCGTTTTTATAGCTTGCTGAGCAAAAATAAGAAAGGGAGCAAAAATAAGGAAGGAAGCAAAGATAATTCCAGCAGTGGTATTAAGTCACTTTTTTGTTTTCTATCAGTGTCGAAAAACTCTAATCTATCAGAAATGGCGTTGGCTGGTCTGGCTAGCAAAGAGGACTTCAGCAGTGTCAACCTTCGTAGTGTGAATTTAACAGAACAAGTGTCGAACAACAGTGCTGTGCCATACAAAAAGCTGATGTTGCTGCAAATTAAAGGTCAGTATTTCATTAATTTATTAAAAGCCTCCTGAAATCTCATCAATCTTTTACAAAAATAAAAATTCAATGTGCCTGTGCAATTTCTATGAGCCTTTGCACAGGACAGCTTAAACCATAACACGTTTTTTAAATAAGTAGTAAATTGCTGATGCAGTGATCTCTGCTAATTGATCATAACTGTCTGTTTCATATCTATAAACATTATCCAGACCAACAACATTTTGTTTTTGAGAAAAAGGGGGAGAAACACAGAGAGAAGAGCTATTAATGTTCAGCATCAATTTTGAGCTGTATTTCTTGTGGTAATCTAAATGCTTAGTTTTACCTCATTTACCTCATTTTTGGGCAATGGATGCTGTCCTTGTCGTATTTCATTAGATTGCACACAGTGTTCTTTATCAAATGGAATAGGAATTGGGAAAAATTTCAACTGCAATTATCTGATAAGTTTGATGTAAAACTATAAATGGAATATTGGCAAAGGCAACATGAGCAACCTAGAGGATTTCCATTTGTTACTTCACTGAGGTAGTGCACTGGAAATCCAGCCCTGTTATTCTCAGAGTCATCGCAAAAGTTAAAGATTTTACCAAACTATGCAAAATTCCCCAATTTACCTGTTTGATAGAACCAGAATTACAGAAAACAGACCAAGTTTCTGTACTTAACGAGAATGAATGACTGACTGACTGACTATTTATTACAAATAAACAGATTTAGCTGCAGATGAACTGTTAACATCGAACTTAACTAGTATAGTTATAACTCACTTCTAAAACACTGCTAAACAAAAATACAAACAGAATAAAGTCGTGTTGTGGGTGAAAGGAGAAAAAACCAGGGAAGCCGTTCAATGGCTCTCGTCCTCAGGATTCAAATAAGGAGTCCCTTTGGTTTCTCAAATCCTTTTAGTTCTTTCATTTTTCCACAGAAGGCACAGAACAAGTGATTCACTAATGATTAAGTCTCTGACTTATTAATTTAAAGCAACAGCTTACAGCAGACAATAAACTGGTGTTCTTTAGAGTTAGGTATTTTATTAGAGAGACAGACCCACCAACTGCCCTTTCAGCAGTCTGATGGCTTCTGCCAGTATTGTTCATGCCCACAATCTGTTCAGCTACCAAAGAGCCAATCAGACAGTTGTTATTGGGCTGATGATCTTTGGTATCCACAACTGGTCACAACTCCACAAATCAATCAGTAACCTGTTGCCAGCCAAATCTCACTTTGTACACAGACACACGGAGCCAGCCCATGTACCCTCACTGCAGCAGTATAAACGTGACTTACAATGAGTTCCAGTAGCTTCCTTTTTAAGTGTTTCCTCTGCTGTGAAACAGTCCTTTTACCAAGTGATTCCACAATCAAAAAAAAGTAAAATAAAAAGTACGGTCTTTAAGACATTAAATTCCAATCCTAGTCAGAATAAAGACAAAATTACTTCTGCATGATACCAACATTATTAGCCTTGCCACATAGAATTGTCACCCAAGTCATACAGTCATGCATAGAACCTACTTCAGAGAATCTCTGACTAATACTTCAGTGCTTTTGTGAGGGAGTGCTACACTGTAGGAGGCATTGTCTTTAGTTAAACTGAGGTCCTGAATGTCTGCTCCGGGGTGAACTTAAAAAACATCCAATAGAGTTATTTGATGAAGAATAAAGGAGATAATTGACCCTCAGCTAATATTACTATGACAAATCATCTGATCATTTGTCTGGTTATCAAGCACAAATGAAAGTCAGCTGCCACATTTTCCTATATTACAACAGTCACTCAATTCCAACAGTAATTAATTGTCCATGAATCATATTGGGTTGTCTCAACAATATGAAAGGAACTTTATTAATGCAAGTTCTTTCTGAAATGGAACAAATTTGAATGATCTGGACCAAATTGCAAATAACAGTGATACTAAAGTATAACATTCATTCAATCACTTCAGTCTGATTTAGAGCTCAGAATTGCTGCTGGGCAAAGAGAACAGAAAAATAATTTTACAGAATGGGGCATTTTAGTTTGGACTCCAGATATATCATTGCTTCTTAGTAGAGGGAGCATGATGAGACATTTACCACAGGGTAGAAAAGGAAAAATATTTTCTAACTTGATGGATTTTAATCTTGTTTTAATTTTATGTAAAAGCAATTGACATGATAAGATAGCACTTCGTCCCTTCTTTCCAGGAAGTGTATTGGAATGTAGTTCACCTTGATGGAATGTCATGCTCCCCTCAGGCTATAACTATTAAGCAAAATGGTAGGCATAAAACTATCCATAACCTAAGGTGAATTAGCTGTCTAAATCTACAAGGATAGATAATAAAGGAAATGATATAAGCCCACAAATATTGCAATGTTTCAACCAGTAAGTTGAAATTGAGGTAAATTAATGAAGAGTTTTACTTTACTGCTGATCTTTACAAAACCTGACCTTGTCTACTCATCATACCATTCAAGCCAGAAGGCAGCTCCAATGCAGCACCACTTCTCTTACCTTGAATGTAATTATTAAATTAAAGAATATAATTTTTTAAAAGAAGTAAATGTAATGAATAAGATCCCATCAATAGTAATGTAAAGATTAGTTTACTAAGTATTTATAGATTCCCTACAGTGCGAGGATGGCCATTCAGCCCATCGTATCCACACTGCCCCTCTGAAGAGCACCCCACCCAAGAAACCAACACCACTACCACCCCAATCCCTATAACCCTGATAACCCTCCATTTTCCCATGGCCAATCAACCTAACCTGCACATCTCTGGACATTATTGGCAATTTACCATGGCCAATCCACCTAGCCTGCATATCTTTGGATTGTTGGGGGGAAACCAGAGCAACCAGAGAAAATCCACACAGACACGAGGAAAATGTGCAAACTCCACACAATAGTCGCCCGAAGCTGGAACTGAACCCAGGGGTCCCTGGCACTGTGAGGCAGCACTGCTAGCCACTGAGCCACCATGCCACCCTATTCCTTATTATTGTTATTGCTATTATTAAAATGTGTAATTAAATTTAATGCCAAAGAGCCTTATTTTTAACTCACTCAAAACTCACTCACTTACTTACAAAGTTAAAATCAGGCCCAAAGTTGCAAGCTGTGAAGCAAAACATTTCTCGACATTGGATTTGTTCTTGTTCTGTGGCCCATTAAATGTACCACAATGATTTGAACTTGCATTCCTAAATTAATTTCTCAGGACGGAGGCATATTCAAACCAGGTTGGTGGAACCAAGAGCATCATCATTGAATAGTGGAGACTGTTTCTTGCTTCTAGCTCCTCAGCACTGTTTCCTGTGGACAGGAGAATTTACCAATGTCATCGAAAAAGCCAAGGTCAGTCTACTATCTCAGTAAGCATCTGTACAAACAAACTCCATACTTTATCCTCGCAGAGCTTCCATGTCCCTGAACTTCTTTCATGGAAGTAAATTAGTGTTGCTCATAGAAAATCTCAGGATATCCCATAAACAATGCTTCCTGCCAGATGTCTGCAAGAAGTGCCATTTCACATGTCATGTGTTCCCCACATTTGTGTAGATTTGTTTGGTGGCGTATCTGGATATCTAAATTTCCTGTCGTTTTGGTGAATGTGAAAAGACTAACATATTTAACAGGATGCAAAAACTTCCCCAGGATGAAGAGTTTTTGAAATAGCAAGAAACAAAGTTCAGATGCATTGCAACTTTCAGAGAAACTGAGAACAGCAACAGAAGATTTCTCCTTTTGTCACATATTTTAAGCATAATGCAAGAAATAAAGCATTGAATACAATGAGAAACCAAAGCTCCCCAAGTATAGATTTCAGTGAACTTGTTTTAATTTATCCAATTTTTAATTAGAATTCAGCCAAGATTTCATTGAGATGTTTCTGATACAAGTTGCACTGCGGTAGAAATTGCTATGCTTTTGGAAAACAGCTGTTTGATAAAGAAAACTGGGATGAAGTCACTTATAGTGAAGAAACTTTGTTCATGCATCTAGTGCACTGCCTTTGATTCAGGAGTCTCCAAAATATTGTATAACTAATTATGTATTTATATATCAGGTTAAATACTCATTAAATGCTTTAACCTTTTAATTGGCCACAGATAAGTAATGTTTGGACTTGCGGTAATACATGTAACATATCACAGACTGACTCTTCTTTTATTAATGAGATCGGCTGCATTTACCCAAATCTTCTGATCTGGGTTAGCACTCCTATACCCACCCAGACCAGACAAACATTTGCAGAGATACTGACGAATGTTCAGTCAGCTCTTGCGAAAGAAAATCCTGATGGTGCAGGAATCCTCATAGGATTTAGCATAGGAAATCTTCATGGAAGCCATGCCCCCGTTTTATAGTACTAGCTGCTGTATTCTGCTGAATAAAGGACTGAAGTATCCAAAGCCTTTTTGAAAAGTTATGAGAAGGAAATTTTATGTAGATGAGGGGCACAGGTGGCAGGTGAATGAGTTGGTGAGAGGGTCAGGTGACAAGGGGGTGATCAGTGAATAAGTGAGAGGGTGTAACAAAAACAAAGTTGCTGGAAAAGCTCAGCAGGTCTGGCAGCATCTGTGAAGGAAAAAACAGAGTTAACGTTTCAGGTCCA